ATTTGAATATTTGTTAATTAATTATTTTTTATAGGTAATACTGTAGTATGCCATGATAAAAACTTCATTGATATTTCGTTTAGTGGTAAATGGAATAATAGTAAAGTTGAAAGTGTAGGTCTATCAAAGAGTTTAGACACTAAGCATCCATTCTTCCAAGATCTATATAAAGCATATGATGATTACTTAAATTCTAAGGCTGCACTAATAAACAAAAAATTAGAATTTTATAATTCGATCATGTATACTGTCCTTGAAGATAACCAAGATCCAGTTCGGGTGAAGCTTAAAGTCGGTGATTTCGTGGAACTACTTGAAGAGACTGAAGGCATTGCATATGCTAAAATTGAGTTTATTTTTCAGCATCAAGCAAATAATGGTCAATACCATGCATTTTTTTTATTTAATTGGTTTCAAGCAACAAACAATTTTGACAATATATTAGGATGCCCAATTTACCATATCCAAAAGCCTGCAGAGTCACATTGGACCAAAATTTTTACAATTAATTTTATTGATCATGTTCCTTGTGTACATTTTGTACATAATTGTACAAATATATGTACAATGAGACATGACGAAACCAATCGAAGTTATATTTTAAATAAATTTTATTATAATGCAGTATAATTAAATATATAGTGCAAAAATTATATGTATATATATATTTTTTAGCTTTTAAGTTAGGTTCAATTATTTTATATATATTACTATTATATATACATAATAAAAACCAATTTTTTTTAATAAGGTGAAGGGGTAATTCGGTGGGAGTGGGTAATTGAAAATTAATGCTTCTTATACCATTCGATTTGTCTCATCAAGACGAATCGAATGGTGTAAAAACCTTTGATTCTTATTGAATTTAACTGAATATCTGATAATTATCTGAATAAACAATCGATGGATTGGAACTCTATTGTCAATCTGTCAATCCACCACTTTACCTTTCAAGAATTGAAACTATTTAGCCCTAGAGCTAGTAAAAGTTATGCAATAATAAGTTATTTATGCTTTTTCTTTTACTAAGGTTTTCTTGAAAACAAGAATTATAAGATAGTAAAATAAAATTTGCAATTAGCAATATTTTTAATAAAGTTTTATTATTAGCGAATTTTGATAAATTTTAACTCTGCTGAAATTGTCTTATTAATGGTGAATCATGTGCTAAATAGTGATTGGTCAGTCTCTGTGATCTATAAATACTAAAATAGTAAAATAGATGTTATTCTAACTTCGTATTTTCACGCTTATTGATTTTATCATGTATTTTATTTTTTGAAATCACCATTTTTATTCTAACTTCGGAATTCACATTTTCGCGCTTATTGATCTTTTCATTAATATTTATTTGTGCTTATTGTGTTTTATTTTTTGAAATCACTATTCTTTATTCTGACTTCACTTTTTACAGTAACAATACCAGTTCTATTCTGATAACAACATCCAAGAGTGTGTATTCCATCAGTAATTTCTATTTCAGCGACTTTATCCTTTTCAATTTATTTACTATTTTCGAAGTATATAGTAAAGTAGTATGGTACGGAAACGCAAATTAGAGTAGAAATCAAGATAGTACATACGGTTTGTAAAAGAAAAAATTCATCAACCATGTTACTTTAACTACTAATTTCAAACATGCAAAGAACAACACTAGGACAATACCGTACTTACCTTAATCCTAACTATTAAAAATGATTGTTTATAAAAATTGAATTTTGCAAGCTTATATTAACAATACGTACTATCAAAATTTAGTATAATTTTCGTATGTCTGTCCGAACCTGTACTGGTGTACAGTACTACTTTACTGAATACCTCTATTTTCATAACAAGTTTCAAGATCACACATGATCACACATTTCTTCAACATAACTCATATTGGTAGATTTTTGACTTCAATGTTATTGTAATAACAATTACTAGGATCGTATGTTTCATCAGC